TGAACGTCGGTTCTCGAGCCGCCGGGGGCGGCTTAACGTACTGACGGCACTTGAGCCGCGCCGCCCCCCCACGGCTCGGCGTAGCGAATGAGTTAAGGATGGTCTTGAATTTGAACCAATGATAATAATCATAGGCTATTTTTTAGCATGTTGTAAATGTAATGTTGTTGTTATCGATCCAGTAATGTAATGTTAAAGTAGCCCTTTATGCAGTTGGTTTTAGAGTTTCGTTTTCATTGACGTTAAGTAGTCTTTTGTTTTGCTTTTAAATTTAAATATGTACATATGAGAGGCAGCGTGGTGAAATCAGGCGCTCGTCAAAACAATGAAATCAAAGAATACAGCATTTTTCTGGGTGTTGGGTAATTTTTTTCAAATTTTCCATTTTTGGCTGAACACCTTTTATGTCCTTTTAAAAATGCATTTCTAAGTAAATGTTACTGAAAAACGTTGATTAAAGGCACGAAACATGTAAATTTCTGGTTTCCAAGGGCTCTTAAGCTTTGGAGGTTTCCAAACTTTGGTGGCAGTTTTCTTGCAAACTTTCTCTCTCGTAACACCTTCAATCGAAAATATCTCGATTTCAATTCAAGGTAGAGTGGTATTTTTTCGCCAAATGCAAAACGAATAAACAAGCTTTAAGATGGTATTATAATAACTCTATATGCCCTCTATATGCGCCTGATTCCACACTCTGTCATGACACATACCATGTACAAAATAGTTTACAATCATAGCACTTCTGTTTTTTTAATGTTTAAAAAAAAATTGCTTTAGTCATGTCTCAAATTTTTTCAACATTTTGTTTTTGTTATTGCCAGAAAGTATGTCTGATTTGATGTGAAAGTCTGAAGTCAATAAAAGTTTTTTTCTAAATCACATATAAGCCCATGATTGTTCTACATACTGTATGATTGTCTGTCTGTAGTGTGTAATAATACTTGCATTTTTTTTTCTTGTCTTTCATTTTACTTTTTCTCACCTGCTCTTTCCTGTCAAACACTATGGCCGTGATTAGTACCATGGGCAGTTGGTGGGTGCTACTGGTATGCTCTGCTTCTTTCCTCCTAACAGTCTGTTTTATCTGTGTTGTCTGGCTGTTTCCTGGCACTAAATGACCCTTCTCGTGTCGATGGGCTTTTTTTCTCTAGGTGCTCTAGGTTAATAAATGAGACGAAACCAAAAGGTGCCTTTCTCAAAGTGCTTTTTTTTTTACTTTCTGTTTTTGTTCTGTAAAGGCATTGTAGCTGAGACCTTCTTTCATATTCTCATGCCCCCCCCTCAAGGGCAGTGCTACTGACTGAAGTGTCTAATTCAGGCCATTCCCAAAGGGGAGGATATTACATTGTATTAACATGTTCTTATGCACAGTAGAATTGTAAAGTAAATGGTCTGATTTATCAATGTCATGCTCATACTGTGCTAGAAAAACATAGGGGGAACTGCTGCTTTTTCTTTCCTGATCCTTACTATTGTCATTTTTACCTCTACTTCTTTTGTATGTTTGTCACTTTCTTGTGAACTGCTATTTCCGGGGTGCCTTGATAGTCGAAGCAGACTTTGTACCGTTGAGGCTAGAGAGGTGAGCAGAGTAAGCCTGATTCCCCGTTTAGACTTCTCTGTTGACATCTACCCTTTGGCGTTCATATGACCTTATGCAGTTGTGAGTACTGTAAAACCTTACTAAAACTAAACTAAAACATAATTTATATATATGAGCCTTTCCTAAAATTTTGGGACAAAAAGGGGAACACGAGGCATACAAATTCAAAATGAGACAACAGCCTCAAAATAATGGAGATTCACAAGCTTTTATTATGTATTTTCAGAAAACAATACTGTCCAGGAATGATTAACATAATTTCACACACATTTCATAAATGTTTTTTTTTTGTATGTGATTTACGGTGCTCGCAACTGCACAAGGTCTTATGAGTGCGCAGGACGCATTAAATATTTTCAGTTGGTAGGAAACTTTTGAATTTTGCTCAGGTAAGCATATTATAGAAATAAGTCATTGACACTACCCTAATGGGAAGGATGTACCTGGTGAGATGAAACCAACTTATCAACGTCACACTCGCGCCCTTCTTTCAGTGTCTCCGTCAAGCTAGGAAACTGAGCGAATTCTCTTTTGCCAATGTTTCCTTTTGAGAACCATCAGACTATAGTGTGCAAAAGTAAACATTACCCCCTGGGGCGGTGCTTCGGACTGAGGTGTCTTTAGGCCATTCCCAAAGGGGGTAGTGGGTATGTTCTTACGCACAGATGGGCTGATTCATCAATGTCATGCTCGTAACTGAGCCTGAACAGCAACAGGGAACTGCTGCTTTTTTTCCTAATCCTTACTATCGTCATTTTCCTCTACTTCTTTTGCTTGTTTGTCACACTCTTGTGACCCCCTTTGTGCTGTTGAAGCTAGAGAGGTGAGCTGAGTATGCCCGATTCCCTGTAAGGACATCTCTGTTGAACAC